CTCCAGCTCTTCTCGGTCCACCTTGCTCTCCAAGGCCTGCGCCACCTGCCCAAGGAATGGAAGGTCGCCTCTGGCGCTCGTCAAGTTGTCCAACCATTTACTCACTTGGCCAGTGACCAGCCAAACAAAAGTGTACACTTTTTGCGCCACCACTAGTAAAAAGGGAGAGCCACCAAGGAAAAAAGTGTAAAGTGTTGGCTGGGTGAGCCAACCTACGTCCTTGTTATTGGCGCTGGCCCTGTCAGTTTGCCCAGCCAAGGCTTGATTTCAAGAAATGTCAATCCTGAATCCCTCAGTTGATCACGTGTGACGGGTCAAAGGGTGACCGATGTTCCCAAGAAATTGGAACTTGGATTCAATCAAAGATCGAAAACATCCCCCCCGCCCCCCGCGCTTGTGGCCCAACCTGGCGAAGACCGTCCTCCAAGTGATCCGTCCTGTTGACCTCCCGCGACGGCGACGGGCATGGCGATGAGCCTTGGCATTCAGGGCTGCAGTCTGCGAACCGATCAGTGGGCCTGCCTCCCCAAACGTGGCCCAACAGTTGCCCCAATCGTGGGCCGGTAAAGGCCGACAACATCGAATGAAGCCTCTCAATCACATGCGGCCATGGCTTGACCCGAAATTGCAGAGGCATCCAGTAGTGGCCATGCATTACAGTTCCCAAGCATGCATTACCCCTATCACTGAACAAGCAGGGCAGACCTCAGTTTTCCGGCAGACAAAGGTGTGACACAACATATCCATGGTGGCGACCTCCTGCCTCCAATCCCGAAGCGCTCGTTACCTGCAAGCCTACACTCAAGAAGCCAGTCAGGCAGCGCCCGAAATCCCCCACTCCCTGCCTCTGGGCGAAGCAATGTCCAGGCGAGGCGAAGCCGGCATAGAATCCTAGGTCTGCTCTAAGGAGGAAACGCATTGTCTTGTCGAGTGCTAGATGGGAACAACACCTGGGCTGCCCTCAGATCCCCCGCTAAAAATTTAACTTTTAGTGGCTTAAAATGGAAACTACCACTAAGCACTAAAAGGCTAGAAAGCTAAGGGGATGGCTGGAAGCCACCAAGACACTGCAAACCAAGCACTTTATCCCAAGGGGCATCTGCTGGCTCGCCCCAAACCAAACACCTCCAATTGCTGGCTTTCCGTTCGTGATTGTTTTGGCAAAGGAACCGCTCTTGGTTTGACATGGGCTTGCTTGGCCCCTCCCCTTGGCCGGTTCTTGGGATGAGCACCTGCAAAACAGCCGGAGCTGTAAACAATTTCAGAGCTCGCGAAAGTCAACACCAAGCCCTCTGGAGCATAACCACTCTTTTCTCTGGGGCGTCACATTTGAAGGCGTCCAAAAATAAACAATGCCAAGCAAAATCTAGCTTGAAAGTCACAAAGCACACCGAGCCAATCCCGCACGCAAAGCCGACATGTTGGTATCATGAAGCTTAAGACCCCGGCCACTTTCACCGTCATGCCCTCGACGCATGTCATGACCTGGGCCCCGTCAAGTCTCCAACAAAACCGGCAGCAAAAGTGGTTTGAGATGGACATGCGAGCGGAACTCGCGTGGGATGCGTTGGTTTGTTTTCGGATGTCTCTGGTAGATTGTGTTTGGGCCAGGTGCGAAGAATCCCAACCCAACGATTCCAGCGTCCAGTCAGGCTGCCTTGCATCAGCCCATTGCTAAATCACACTATGTGATCCGGAGTGAACCTGGTGAAGGTTGCCATGCTTGAATGGGAGTCCCCCAGCGCGGCTGTATAGGCTAAGGCTCTGTTTTTTTTTCATCTGCCTGTCCCACTTCAATCAAACCCTTTGACTCCCCTCCCCATGTCCTTTGCCTCTAGTCGAGCCTAAGCCGAGTCTTAGGGGGCTGAAGAAGAGAAGCTCGAAGCAGCGCTTGGATGTTCGGCCCAATGGGTGAAAGTGCCAACCTCACGTCGGAGCAAATCAGTAGCTGACATGCTTTGGTCATGCTTGATTCGGTACCTAAGCAGCAAACAGTGGCAAAAACACACACACACACATGCAACCAGAGCTGGCTAATTTTCCAAGTGGGACGAATCATGTTGACCCCCTTTTTATCTTTATTAGGGGGGTATTCCCCTCCAAAAGTGAACCATCCCCACTAAAAACCAGGGGCACCCCCCCATATGAATCAACCAAAGGCATATTAATAGGGGGTGTTCATTCTCCCAATTGGGATATTCCGAACTGATGCCTATCCGAGACCCGAGGCATGCTGCAAGTCCCGCTCGAACTGGCCCATCTTCGCCACACGGGCCTCGCAGGAAACCCCCCCACCTCTCGGCTCACGCGCCGGTGTGGGCGCGTAATGTTGACCCGGGATCTAAGTAGACACGTCCCTTTTTTTGGGGGGGTGTTCCCTCCAAAAGTGGTCTGAATCCCCACTAAAAGGGGAATTCACCCGATGAATCAACCAGGGGTGTATGAATCCGGGGTTCATTATAGGAAGGCAAGCTCGTCTTCTCAGTTGGGCTGCGTCATTGAAGCGTGCAGTCGAAGCCTTGCATGTTGCAATTGGCGTGGCCGGCGGAAGGGTTGCCGATTGATCACTCTGCGTGGCTTGGAAGCCTCGAGGTCTCGTTTGAAGGTCACGCGCTCGTTCTCCAAGCTGAAGTGGAGCCTGGGCTTGACGCTGAAAATGGGAACCTATCCGACCTATCCAAACTGATGGGTTGGATTGGTGGTTTGGTGGTTACCGAGTTCCCCATCCCTCCACCAGAGATTCAAATCCAAATCCAAATCCGAAACAAGTAAGACCCCCCTCTTTCCCTGACACCCCCATCCATCTCCTCCTCCCGCTGCCCCCCCCCCAATCTCCTCCCCCATTGCCGGGCCAAGGAGCTCCTGCTGCAGCCGCTCCAGCGCCGAGCTCAGCTCCGCGGCCTGGCGCTTCTCTGCCTGCGGCTGAGCGGCAGGGCTGAGGCGCAGGTAGGCCACCGTGGCGCGGGGCGGGGCATGAGCTGATGTGCAAGGAAGCGGTTTTGCGGAGGAAACCTAGATGAGTTGATGTTCTAGCAGTTGCATAAAACACATGAAACACCAGGGGTCAGCTTTTTGTGGAGGGAAACCTAGATGAGTTCTTGATGTTCTAGCAGTTGGCATACAAAGCTAGGGGTCATGGATGGTCATGTTTTGTGTGCTGTTTTTCTTCTTTGGGGGGGAACTAGATGAGATGATGTCTTTAAGCAGCTGCTTTCGAGCATAGTGCACCAGTCAGCAGGTTTACTGCCCTGCAAGTTGACAAGGCACTCCAGCAAGGCATCATTCGTAGAGAAACTTCCTTTTGAGGGGCTCGGTTTTTGGGGCAGGATGGGGCGGGAGTAAACATGCCGTTGCCAGTTGCCGTTTTGAAAGAGCTGTGGGCTTGACATTGAGTCCTTGGCCTGGTCGCGGCCCTGGAAGGTTTTTGTTGGCTGGCCACACGCCCCCCTCCTTTTTTTGTGTTCATGGGATGTGGTCAAGGAGTAGCTCCCCCAATAGAAGAGGAGTGCTAGTTGGGTGGCTGCCAGGAAGGCTAACGGTGGGTCGTTTGCCCCAGGTGGGCTGCGCGTGTTGTTGGCTGGGGCCACATGTCTTGATTCCTTGGCTGCTGTTTTTTAAAGAGAAATCGGCCTGTTGGAGGAACTGGTGGTGGCAATCCAAGGTGTCGGTTGGTTGCTTGCAGTGTCCCAAGCATGATATTCCAAGGTTGGGAAGGGTTGCTTGCAGCGGCTTACATTCCATGCTGCCCTTGTTTGGCGGGCGGGCGCCCCTTTGAAATGTGCCATGGTCTTTGGAGATTCTATCCTACAGAGTCCTTCCGGTTGTTGACATTTAAGACAAAACCACCCCAGTCGGGCCTTCTGCGCGAGACAATCCTTCAGCCAGGACAAGTCTGGAATGTCCTGAGCAAAACCCGACGACCCAGTGCACCGCAAAAAAACACATCGAGGCCTGCTGGGCATTCTGAAGGACAAGCACGGTGTGTGGCTGATAGGATTACTTGCTGATGGACCACCCAAACCACCAGTTGCGCTCCCGAAGCAAGCCCTTGCCAACAACTGCCTGTTTGGGAGGCATCTGGGGATCCATGTTCATTCACAAGGAGCCAAACTGAGGTGATCAAGATTCCTGGCCCAAAAATGACCATGGGAAACTTTTTCGAATTAGTTGTGAAAGTACTCGTTCTTGGTGTATTCCCCAATGGCACAAGTCCTTGCAGTCCGTCTTCTTGTCCATGGTGGACTCTATGCTCTGCAGCTTCAGCCGCAGCTCGCCTAGCGCCCACAGATTGTGTTACCCTGCCCAACCCATCTGGGGGAAGACACACACATCAAATGGATGTTTGGGTCCAGGGTGGCAAGCATGGTGCCTCTTTTCCCTCAGTGCATGTATGTGATAATTGCCTAGTTGTTGGTAAAGTGGCATATCCAATCTATTATGTCTGCTACTGTGGGTGGACGAAATCCTGGACCACTTTGAAACCACGGGAAACCATTGTTTGTTGGTATTTACAGGGCAATCACAATTCCAGGGTTTCTTAGGTGGTGCAGGTTTTCGTCCATCCACAGTATTGGCACTTGTGATGGGAGCGGTTGGAACGAGAGAGGGCCCGCTGGGCTCCCTGCTGAGCAGCGCAAAGTCCTGCAGCAAATTTGACAAAGGCCCGACGTGTCACCCGTGTCACATTGTTTGAACCCCATGGAGATCCACATGCCAATGTCACCAATGTGTGCACTGCCCAAGGGCTGCTGTTCCCTTCAAATCAATGTTTTTTCCAAAACGAGAGCCTTGAGCAGAGGACAACCCCCTTCCAGAGCACATTGGGCTTAAGAAAGACGCGAAGCCTTAACTTGGAGCCTTGCCTGTCAAAGGTTCGTCTCGCTTGGGCCGATAGTTCGGAAAAGAACCAACAACCAAAACAACTTGGAGAGTCACTAAATTGTCAAGAGATAACCTCTGTTGGCCAGGGCAAGTCTTGGTGGTTGTTGTGTCCGGTTGAAAACTGAGAAACAGCTGAGCTGCAGTCGCTGAGAGCGCGGCGACCTTGCCATCCATGTTTGCCCTGGTCCCGGACGGGTTTACCAGCGAGTCCCTAATGGCTCCAAACTAAAGAGCCGGGGTTACCAGGCTTTGGTCTTTGGCTCCATTTGCCAAGGTGCCATTCGGGGTATCTACTCCTGACACAGCCATCTGAGCTTCTTTGCGAGGCCATGAAGGGAGTGTGAGCTACCTGCTTGGCCACACACCCTTTGCACCTGCAAACCTCCAACGCGCCTCAAGCTTCTGGAGCCTAAGTTTGCGGGAAACGACCTAACACCTGGCTCCGCAATGCGTTTTTACACAACATGGTAATAGTGCATCCAGAACCGACTCCGGCCCTGAAGGCTTGAAAGCCCTCCAGCATTTCCCTTTGCCTGGCAAGGAACCTCTCCATCGTCAAAAGTGAAAAACACCTGCGTGAACATTCTTTCAACATGTGTACAAAACTCAAGTGCGGAAGTTGCAACGCACGATCTCCGCAGAGGGTTCGCCGAGCTCAAGACACATTCGCACGGCGCCACAGCGAGAGCGCTTCGATATCGTACGATACTTGCAAAGGGCTCGCCGAGCTCAAGACACATTCGCGCGGCGCCACAGCGAGTCGCCGAGCCCGAGACGCTTGCGCACGGCACCACAGCGAGAGCGCTTTGGCGCGCGCGCGCGCGCGCGATCCCCACAGACGGTTCCCACAGACGGTTCGCCAAGCTCATGACACATTCGCACGCACGATCCCCAGGGTGACATGTTGCAATAACCATTTTGGTTCAAGTGCAAAACTAGCTGATGTTTTTAATACGGCCTTCTCGTTGCGGGGTGCGACAGATCTAGGCCTTCGGTATCCTGGTCTGGGTGGCAGGGCATACGAAGGGGCTAGGTTCTGAGACGCTGTGGAGCCCACTGGCATCATGACTGTGCTGTACAACAAAGGTCATCAACACTCGCTCAAAGACACCGCGCAGCTCGACACTGCAAAAAGAGTATGAGCTGCCTCTTAGCTCCCCCTGATCCGAATGTTTCTTCCTCAAGGAGCGAGCCAGGCGGTGGCAACCTGTCACTCGGCACCTGCGATCCTTTCAGCCAGACCGCGTGGTAGGGGTCACCCTTGGCCTTTGCTGTCTCATTTGCCCAGGGCCTTATCACGAGAGTTCCCGGCGGCCGCCCTGCCGCGCTTTTGCTCCGAAAGCAGTGGACCCCATCAGCCTTGAGCAGCTTTTCGTGGACGCGGCCAAGATTTCTTCATCAAAGAAAAGAGTGCGAGCTGCCTCTTGGCTCCCCTGATCTGAATGTGTGACATACTAGTGCTTGGCCGTGAATCCTCTCGACACTCGGGCCGCTAGCCTTGCGGATGCCCCGGATTCAATTCCTCAATCACTGCGACAGCATCTATCTATCTGCCTGCATCTCCATCTGTCCTCTCTCCCGATCTACCCATTTACTCTCACTCTGTCTACCTATCTTATTTCTATCTGTCGGTTTCACTAACTTTCTATCTATATCTGTCTGGCGACCAATCTATCTAACTCTTTATGTACATATATCTTTACCCATCTCTCCCCTCCTATCTCTCACCTCTATCCCTATCTATCTGCCAATCAGGCTACTACCTATCTCTCTCTCTCTCTATCTATGTCTATTTGTGTGGCTTCCTGCCGATTTATCTATCTGTGTGTCTCTCTCTGTCTATCTTTCTTTGTATCCATCGATCTATGCATAATTACCTATCTATCAATTTATCCACCTCTCTCTTTCTAACTATCGCTCCTTGTCTACTTCTCTATTTTAAGTTACCCATTTGGTGTAACCATTCTGGCTTAGTGCCCTCCCTGACTAAAAACATGCCGCCCTCGCCAAGCACTACCATGTCACAGGTCCGTTTCATGCAAAGCTGTCGCACGCAAGAAAACTTTTTGCGACAGCTGCCACGTTTTCACAGGTCCGATTGTCCAAGCGTCGTAGCCTGACCCGACAAAAGACATCCACCGCGTAGCGGCCCTGCCATCAAAAACGCACGTTGCTCTCAAAACAGCGCGTTGGCGCGAGGCTTCCTCTACAAACGCACCCCGCGTTGGAGCGCGAACCTCCGCGCGCCTGAGACTTTCACAAAAAATGCAATGACACCTTTTTACATCGCTGCGGCGAGCGTGTCTGCGCGCGGCGATGCTCAGTGTGTGTGGTCACATGAGAGCTCCATCTCATCATCCTACTTTCCTCTCGGACTGCGCCGCGCGATTTCTCACGAAGGTGGTTTGCGCAAGCTGCATTGTTCCAGGCTGCTGCGCGCAAGTTGCTCTCTGCAAGCTGCTGCACGCTGCTGCGCGCAAGTGCTCTGTGCAAGTTGCTCTGCGCAAGTGCTCTGAGCAAGTTGCTCTGCGCAAGTGCTCTGCGCCAGTTGCTCCGCGCAAGCGCTTTGCGCATGTGCTCTGTGCAAGTTGGTCTGTGCAAGTTGCTCTGCGCCTGCTCTGTGCAAGTTGCTCTGCGCAAGTGCTCTGAGCAAGTTGCTCTGCGCAAGGGCTCTGCGCCAGTTGCTCCGTGCAAGCGCTTTGCGCATGTGCTCTGTGCAAGTTGGTCTGTGCAAGTTGCTCTGCGCAAGTGCTTTGTGCAATTGCTCTGTGCAAGTTGCTCTGCGCAAGTTGCTCTGCGCAAGTGACTCTGCGCAAGTTGCTCTGCGCAAGTGCTGCCGGAGCTGTGGGAGTGTACTTCGCATACTATTTTTGTACTTAAAAGTTGCGATTTTCCAGCCGGAGCTGCGGGGGTGTGCTCCGCGTACTACGTTTGTACTTAAAAGTTGCGCGGGAGCACGCTCCGCATACTACGTCTGTACTTAAAAGTTGCGATTTTCCAGCCGGAGCTGCAGGAGTACGGTCCGCGTACTACGTTGCGATTTTCAAGCCGGAGCTGCGGGGGTGTGCTCCGCGTACTACGTTTGTACTTAAAAGTTGCGATTTTCCAGCCTGAGCTGCGGGAGCACGCTCCGCATACTACGTCTGTACTTAAAAGTTGCGATTTTCCAGCCGGAGCTGCAGGAGCACGCTCCGCGTACTACGTTTGTACTTAAAAGCTGCGATGTTCAAGCCGGAGCTGCCGCGGACCAGGGCGGAATCGAACCCGCGACCGCGGGATTGCGAAAGCAGGCGCGCAAGCCACGAGACAACTTCCAAAGGCCGTTTCGCGAGCAAAAATACTGCACGGCGCCACAGCGAGAGCGCTTCCACAATCTCCGCAGAGGGTTCGCCGAGACTAAGACAAATTCGCACGGCGCCACAGCGAGAGCGCTTCGACACGCACGATCCCCGCAGAGGGTCGCGCGCGCACCGCAGAAATCGTAAAAAGTCCTCAGTTTTTGAACCTCGACCACGCGAAAAGTCCTCAGTTTTTGAACCTCGACCACCCGAATCTCCGCAGAGGGTTGCGCGCGCACCGCGCAGAAATCGTAAAAACTCCTCAGTTTTTGAACCTCGACCACGCGAATCTCCGCAGAGGGTCGCGCGCGCACCGCAGAAATCGTAAAAAGTCCCCAGTTTTTGACCTCGACCACGCGAATCTCCGCAGAGGGTCGGGTGCGCGTGCTAAAAGTCGTAAAAAGTCCTCAGTTTTTGAACCTCGACCACGCGAATCTCCGCAGAGGGTCGCGCGCGCACCGCAGAAATCGTAAAAAGTCCTCAGCTTTTTGACCTCGACCGCGCGAATCTCCGCAAAGGGTCGCAATCCCGAGCGACGATCAAACTCCCGCCCCGGCGCATTAGAAACCTAAACTAACTTACATAGCTGCTAACGCCGAAGCTCTACGCAAGCTCTACCTAACCTTGGCTCTGTGCCACCTGGCTCTGTGTCACCTGGCTCTGTGCCACTTGGCTCTATGCAACTTGGCTCTATGTAACTTGGCTCTATGTAACTTGGCTCTATGTAACTTGGCTCTATGTAACTTGGCTCTATGTAACTTGGCTCTATGTAACTTGGCTCTATGTAACTTGGCTCTTGGCTCTATGTAACTTGGCTCTATGTAACTTGGCTCTATGTAACTTGGCTCTATGTAACTTGGCTCTATGTAACTTGGCTCTATGTAACTTGGCTCTATGTAACTTGGCTCTATGTATGTAACTTGGCTCTATGTAACTTGGCTCTATGTAACTTGGCTCTATGTAACTTGGCTCTTGTAACTTGGCTCTATGTAACTTGGCTCTATGTAACTTGGCTCTATGTAACTTGGCTCTGTGCAACTTGGCTCTGTGCAACTTGGCTCTGTGTAACTTGTCCAAGGGCCCCGCACGGAAGAACCCTTCGCGATGCTTTCGGGAAAAGCGCGTTTCGCCCGAGCACCGCCCGCCCCCCCCCCCCCACATCTCGCGCAAGACTGTTGCATCGAAGACAACTTTTTTCGCACAGGGCCAGCATTTTGAGCGTGAACCCTCGATCTAACTGAACCTTAACTCTTACCGTAAGAACCCCTTAGTAACACTATTTGGGGAATGAAACACATGACGCAATGGGGGGATTTAGGACGGGAAGGATTATGGAGACGCATTACTTCCATCTTTCATACATCAACCCCCCCACACGACCTGGTGACAGGCCCGGCCCATTCTGTAGGCCTGAGGCTCTGCATGTTGGACGTCGCTTCCCGAAGCTCCTGCTAGCACAGCTCCGGCCAGCCCCCAAACTGATAATTCGGAGGTTTTGTAAATGGAACCCGGTTGCCTCCTGTTCCTTGTGCACGCCAGAAGAGGTTCGTTCATGGATGCAAAGGCACTCAAACAGTGGCGCCGGGCAGGTTTAGAAGCCCGCTCCTGAGCATCCGCCTTTTGCGTGAGCTGGGACTGAACCTTGTTGAGCCTCAGGCGACTCATGGCGATGCATGCCAAACGACTGGCAAATGGATGCAAGTGGGTGTCTCTTGCTTTGAGGGTACCCCTTTGAAACCGAGGGAACCAAAATGACATCAACAATCTTGGGGGGGTTCCCCCAACCCCAAATGGGGCTGTTGCCTTGCCCACCGCACGCGTGACGACACACCGTGCCGCCCTGCCCAGACCTCAGCTCCTCAAGCACCGGCCTCAGAAGGCAAGCGTCTTGAACCGATCTCCATCAAGCATCATCAACATCAAGTGCCACAATGCTGCACGACAGACCAGGAACACAACATGCCTCCGATGGGACGTGATCTATTCAACATCTAGGTTACACACCTCCCACTTCTGCCGCCTTGGAAGACCAACAAAATATGCCGACTGAGTCAGGCTGCTTCTTCCTGAGACCCTGGCGTATCCACCTTGAGGTCAAGCCTGCTCAGCGTGACTTTGGTCCCACAGCCGTCTGCCCCCTTTTCTGCACTGGATTCTGATGGCTGTATAAAAAAGACATCCTACAGCCGGTCAAAAGACTCGAATAGCCCATGATCACCCACAGCCCTGGGTTCCCATTTGCTTGCTTACAACAAAAATCCTTCGCCCGCGTCTGAGTTGGGGTTGTCACCCCGTAGCAGCATGCCACCCAATTACTAGGTCCTCCAGTGAAGAGGGAATAAGGATACCAACTTTTTTATGTAGCCTATTCCTCCCCCAAAAAAGATTTGGTAAAAGGGCACTATTGGGGGGCCTAGACAGGGAAACCTTCACCAGGCCCCTCGTCGCGCGGGCCGCGGGCCGGCCGTCGGCCGCGGGCCTCAACTGCAGGTCTCTCAAGCCGCTGCGCACCTCTTGCAGCGACTGCGGGCCAACCTGCCGTGGCTTTTGCAAACAGTCGAGACACTCGCTTGCTTTCTGCTCTGCAAGAAGAAACTAACTTTTGGTACGGTATAATATGGAAAACCCGATAGTTGGCAAAAAGTTAAAGTCCTAACATCCAAGCAAAATGCACCAAAGATCAGAAGCAGGCATTGAACCACATCACAAAAGCTGGAAAAGGTCGGCCCACAGCGTTCACACTTGAGTGGTTGGGGGGGTGGATTTGTTGCTCTCTCTACGGCAAGGGGTTCTTACATTCCAAATTGAGCCAAATTTTACAAGGCCGGAAAAGGTGCAACATGCTTGACATGTAGTGGCATGCTGCACGAAGCAGCATTTCAAACCCTCTTCAACATGGCGCTGGGTAATTTTGACCTACGCAGCGGCATCTTGCAGTCATTCACGACGAGCCGAACATACAAACAACACTCTGCCAACCAAAAGGCCCAAAAAAAATCAGATGTAAGGAGCCGTTGCCAATCTCCTAAGTGCCTAAGCATTGCTACTTCCACCTGTGACGAAGAACCTCAAGAAACAGGTTCTGGTGCTCAGCAAAAAATGAATACATGACCCCTTTTTTCCAGCTGATGCTTTCCTTCGAGAAGACCAATACCTGGGGTCTTTCAATCACATTCCGTATCGCACCAGCAAGTGAACCATGGGGCTGAGGCAACGCCTTCAGCGCCACGGTGGTCTGCAGCTCCTACGGTGTTTTGTTCTCATAAGTTGGACGTCTGGGAAAGCACGTGGCGATCAATGTACATCCTCTGGCGTGTTCTTTTGGTTGTCAAGGGCGGCCCCCAATCCCAATAGGGGTTAATAGCGACTCATAAGGCCCATTCCTTTCGTCTTTGGGGGGCTCGGTCCCCTCTTTGCAAGGCCCCCTCTTTGGGGGACCCGGACAACCATGGGATGTTGCCAACATGGTGCATACCACTCCGTCCTTCGTCAAGTTGGATAAGGCCTGCCGACAGCGGCATGACCAACGCAAGCGCATGCGGCATTACCCATCCACACCAGAGTGCACACTGATCTCACTAGTTCGCCCAGATCTGACACCTTTGGACCTGTGGGAACTTGCAGTGCGCTGTCCGAAGCAGGCCAATGCCCCCCCCTCCGTCAACTGGTAGCTCATGCTTGAGCCGACTGGCAGTGCCACAGTGCCGGCGCACGCCTCCACATCGCGGGCATCCTTAGTTCGCCCACGGCAAGCTCAAGTTCCACAAGCCCACCTTGCGGCCACCCAGGTGCACTTCAAATCAAATTCGCATATCGGTGAGATGACGCCCAAAACCAACTAACTCCAAATGGCACGCCAAGATATTACCGAACCGTCCTTTCTCTACATGTGTGTCTGTTTCACTACATTTGCGACCTTGAAAGGCCTGATGTCCATATTCACCTTTTCTGGTAGGATCCATACACCTATGTACGCATATTCACACATATATATATATATACAGAGCAACGGGTTGGCAACCAGGGTGCCAGGAAGTGCCTCCAGAACACATACCATGCTGGCCGCGGCTTCTGGGCTTCCCCGGCCACCTTGCTGCTGAGCTGCTCCTGGAACTTCAAAAGCCTGAAGGCGATGCCCAAAAGCCCAGAGGCCCAGAGGCCCAAAGGGGCGGTCAACGATTCAAAGGGACGTCGCCATGGCCATGGAGATCCAAATGCCAATTGGACATATTCCAATTCGTACATGTACGAAATTCATTTAAGGGTCCCGCGTCCAAGACTTGGACATACTAAATGACGGTTAAGGGTCCCGCATTGATCAAAGTATCCCCAAATGAGGTAAGGCGGCACTTTTGAAGGGTAGCTGGAGGACTGGGAGAACCTTTGCAGCCCCCAAGACACAGCGGCGCGCCGACAAGTGAACTATGCTTACATGTATAGGCAGGAACCCTTTTGGTGATTGCGACGTGTTGTGGGGAAGTTGTTGCTTGGGCGTGTCGCAAATTGTGAGACTGGCAGGAAGAAAGCGCCAAATGGCTATTAATTTTTACGGGGAACCTCCTCAAAAGTGGTTGGTGGACATAAATCCCCACCGAAATGATGTCCACCAAAGGATCCCTAATCAAAATTCATACCCAAATGATTGAAACCCAACCGGCTCTCTGAGACTCGCGCTGGTTGCGGCTCTTTCCAACCTGCTCCGACATTCGCTGCACCTGGGTGCTGGGAGCACCGAGCCGCGAGCCACTAGGCAATGCAGCAAGGCACGCACTCCAGCTAGAAATACGCGTTGCACGCCCCGCATATTGCCCATGACAACTGCATGACAACTGTCAAGAGTCCAGTGGAGCTCTGAAGGACTTCTCTATCTGCGGTCTTAGCACTTGGTCCAAATGCCGAGCTCTCAGTTGCAGACATGGCCCGGGAGGTTGTGCATCTCCAGCTTCTGCATTCTGCCCTGCAAGTCCTTCACCCATGGCCCGCGCCGGACTTGGGCCCCAAAAATCCATGCACATGTTGTGGCCTTGTAGCTGCCCCCTTCAAATGCAAGGAGCAAACTGAAAAGGAACACGGCCCCACAAAGTCTTCATAACAGGACGCGCGCTTGCAAAGCTCTATGGGGTTCTGGAATCCCTTCTGTGCAGCTCAATTCCCTCCTGCGCCGACTTCTCCAGCTGCGCGGCCTGGATATGGCTATGGCGTCAACTGCTCGCCTTCTCGACATCTGCATGCCTCAACTAGGCTGTCCGTTTTAGGATCCCCTGCTAAAAGTTTAACTTTTAGTGGGATACACGGACCCCCACACTCAAAGTTTAACTTGTGGGTTAAATGGAAACTACCACTAGGCCCTAAAAAGCTGGAAAACTAAGGGGCAGATGGCTGGGAGCCACCAAGTCAAGATGCCTCAAGCGCGGTCAACTAGGCTGTCCCTTCGAAGTCGCCCACAGCTGCGCATGGCTCCAATGGCTCCGTTGCCCTTTTTGCCTGTTTCTTTGTCAAAGAGGCCCCGCGAAGGGGGCTCATGGCGGTCCACCTTAAGCCTCAGGCTTCCCTGAAGACAACAACTTGCGGCAAGACACATCCATTTGGACCCCCGCCTGGTTCTGGACCTTCTGCATCACAGCCAGCGCGCGGTTCAGGCCGCTCTGGTCAGCCTGCGGGGAGAGCAGCGAAGCCAAGTGTTGGTGACGAATGTGATTTGAGCGGAAGAGCAGCACTACTGCACTGAAGATAAGCAATCCCTCCTTCGTGTGAACAAGGCCGAAGGACATAGTCAGCCATGTGCGGGGAATCCCCCCACAGAAAAACGGCGGTGGGCTAGCCTTCCCACAAACACACGAAAATGAAACCATAAACGGGGGCACCCCCCCATGTCCGTTTTTGAGTGGGTGGGGATTCTGGAGGACGGAAAGGCACAACTTGACTCGAAAGACTGGGTCTGTTGAAAGGGCAGGATGTGCTGACATTGCTGACACGTGCGTGTCGGCAGTTCGCGTGCTGGTGTTGCAGAATCGGACAACCATGCTGAAAGTGGACTAGCTGCCAGCTTGCAAAGAGCTTGACAGCGATCACATTCCAACCCCAGGAATCGCCCAGCCTACTTCCATGATCGACCGTTTCATCGGTGGCATTGCGAGAGAACGAGCCGCCAAGTGATTCTCCACACTTTCACGGCCCCGCCAACTTCGAGACCGAATGCCCGTGGTGCACCCTCACTGAATGTCAGGACGTGGGCCGCCTTTCGCAAAGGTACCCACGCGCGCACCGGAAAAAAAAAAAAAAAAAAAAAAAAAAAAAAAGGAAAAAAAAAAAGGAAAAAAAAAAAACACAACTCCCTGGGCCATGGGTTGCATGCCCTTGGTGCGTTCACTGAATGTCAGGATGCCCCGTGCACAACACTTTCGGCTCTCGCACTGCCCATAGGTGGCCTTTTGATTAAAAATGGATGGGTGTCCCTGGTAAATTGTGGAATAAATAAACCCCATCTAAACCAGCGGAACCCATCTACTTCTTCAGCAAACCAACCCAAAAGGACAACCCAAAAAGGACACCGTGGCGGCTGCCTTGGAGTCCGCCAGCTTGGTGGCCACCTCGATGCTGCGCAGGTGCTCCTCCAGCACCTGACGGCCATTTTTTGTCTTTTTGGTCGACAGCTTTGGGCGAGATCTCCAAATGGCGGTGGGTGAAAAAGAGAAATCGGTGCCCAAAATCATGGGTCGCCCTGGTAAGTGGAAACATGAAATACTGTGGATGGTTGAACGCAACCCTTCCAACGCGCCAGCTAAGAAACGGTTTCAACCAGTGTTTGTTACGGTATTTACGTGGGGGAATCGAATCATTCCGTTGGGTTTCTTAGGCGGCGACGAATTTCTTTGGCCGAGAAATGTTGTTGATATCTCCAAATTTAAATGGCGGTGCGTCAAAAATAGAGAAACCCCAAAATGGGTTGCCCTGGGAAGTGGAAACATGGTTGCTAAAACCAGCGGTCCATTTCCTGGTGGTTTAATTTTGACCCATATCCAAATAGGTATGGCCATGAACACCCATGTACCACCTATTTTGACGTTCACCAGGGGTTTCCTGGGTTTTGAACAGCCATATCTCCAACATGGGTGTCTTGCCATTTACACCCAGGCCCGAAGAAACCCTTCGAACCAAACAACTCGCATCCAAGCAACTCGCGCCATGACCCGTTTTCCTCGGTTGTTGTTTTTGTCTTTTCTTATTATTTATTTTTTTTTTGGGGGGGGGGGGATTTTGCTTGTTTTTTCCTCATTTTTTTTTGGGGGGGGGGTGGGGGGGAAAATTTCCCCATGGCGCAACCAACGGGTTGAAGCCCATCCGCACCTATCGCCTCTCACCGCTGAGCTTTCCACGGACTGGTCCGCCTTCCAGGCCAAGGTGGCCTCGAGGCTCCGAAGCTGCGCCTCGCAGCGCCCGCAACTTGGGTCACAATCAAAATGGCCGCACGGTTGTAGGCTCCGTTTCCATTGCCCGCCTTCGTTTTGCAGATATCCCCTGTTCCACCTGAATGTATGTCCTTGAGACAAAGTATGGTTGGGATTTTGCATGTGGAGGTTGGCATAAGGTGAGTCGCAATCAAAACCGATCGGTATTAAAATGGCCGTAATCCCAGAACCATGTGAAGAATTAAGAAGGCGGATATCCGCAACTTTTTGTGGCTGGGAGTCTCCCTTACCTCCATCTACCCAGGTTTTGATTGTGGCTCACTTGGGGGAAGAATCCGTTGGATAAGTTGGCCAAGGGGGGGGTGCTTTGGAATGTTTGACATGGTTGGAATGTTTGACATGGTTGGAATGCTTGGAATGTTTGGATTGGTGGTGTTGAAATGTTTGGAATGTTTGGAATGGGTGGGGGGTGGACTTCCCCAAAGGGTTCTTTGGAATGTCTGGAGTGGTGGTTTGTGGGTTTGGGGGTTTGCATTTTGGTACCGCAAACAGAACCAAGTGTCAAAAGCCTGTGCGCATGCGCCACATCTACCCCACCATCATCACCAGCTTACACGTTACAGCCTTCCCAGCCACATTTGCGGCCATCCCTACCCCAGCCCACATGCCTCAAAAAGACAACCCCTCCCTCCTCCCTCTTGGGCAACTTGCAGCACTTCAGGCTTTTGCCGCGAAAGAGGGCGAATCACAACATACAGCTGGTGCGCGCCCCCAGAACCCAGCGCCTCTTTTCAGTTGTTCCGGAGGGAGTTTGCTTGTGCTCATGGCTGAATTGCACTTCGACCATAGGTGGCCTTCTGGAAAAATAGTTGGCTGGTAAACGGAATGAACCCCAGCTAAACCAGTGGAACCCATCCATTTTGTAAGCAAACCAACCAAAAAGGACACCTATGACTTCGACCCTGTCCGGACAACTTCTCCTCAAGCCTTCTAATTCGCCAAGCTCGGGCCTTTTACTTGACCGCGATGCTGCCCCGCATGTGTGAAACGAAACCAAGCCAGTCCAGGCTTGAGCAACTGCGCGGACATGACCCTCACGGCTCCGATTTGTTCATCGCTGAATTTCTGAAGAAAGAAACGCTCCGCTCCGCTCCGTCCGGCAGGCTCGTAAGGTCTAACCTCTACCCTGGATGAGTGTCTGGTCTGGCTTATAGTAGCATTTTGCGTCCTGGAGCGTCCGCAAACCTTTGGGAAACAACTATGGTAACTATGGTCCAATGGTACCCATACTAGGGCCACAAGCTTCAGCTAAAATGGGCCCTACACCGCTTGCAAGCACATCGGGGGATAGATTCTTGACTGCGTCGCTCCATCAAAACTAGGTTGGCCATGCCAGTCGCCTCGGTGGCAAAATCTCCCTCAGCTCTCAGCTGTGCATGAACTTGCACATGTCTCCCCGTGGGCAGGTGCCGGTCCTTGGCAAATGACCAAACAAAACCACCAGGTGGCATCTTTGACTTGCCCAGAAATATACCTGGGATAAGTAAATAACAAAAAGGAATCACGTGGGAGGGGGAGGGGGGGGGCGGATCTCCAAGCTTTTCGGCGGCTCGACTTCCGACAGCCACGGAGCTCACCTCAACTCCTGACTCTGTCAGGCAACGCTCCTGCAACAAAAACACCTGGAAGCCGCAAGTGCCAAGCCTTCACCTGCGGAACGTGAGTTGGGCGTAGGGTGTACGATGATACACTGCATAGGTCAAAATCCCGTACCGCCTGTGAACATCCCAATCCCCACTAAAATAGGTTCTAACATGTGTGGGTGAATTCACCTACGCGAAAATGGGATCCCATTGGTTTTGACAACCACGGCCACATTGTGTGGGTCCCGAGAAACAGGTTCCTCCCCAAAAAAGCAGGGGGAGCGCTGCAAGGCTTCAACCAAGCTCACTTCTTCAATCGACCCCCCCCCCCAAAAAAAAAGAAATAAAAAAACAACGCGCAACTTTTCCCCACTTCCCGACAAAGACGCTTCTTCAGATCCCAGCAGGTCATGTCCGTGGACTTGCCCTTGCCCTTGCCGAAGCCCTTCTTCATGAACATCGGCTGCCAGAGATTCAGGCCCTTGCCCATCATGCCCTTCCCCATGCCTCGCAAGTTGCATCGAAGGCCATCGAAAGGGGCGCTTTCAGGCGTGCGGAGAGAAACAAAAAGAAAAAAACACGTCAGGTGGGCCCCCCCGCATGCAGTCCAAAAGGCGGGCCCGCGCCTTCAAGTAAGGGCGCAAGCTCCATAGGCATGCTTTTGTGAGTTGGAATGGTCGAGCAAATTTGGTGCGCCAGACATCTCTTGAAGCAATGCAAGGGGAGGCCGTCAAAGCCTGCTTGGAAGACCATTCGGTAGCGAGCAACGATGCCGGTGTGTTGCCGCACTTCGACCGCACTGGGGGAGTTCCCCGCATTTCCCGGAGTTCCGTTCTCCGAACTCAAGCGACCCATGATGAGCAAGCATTTGCTTGGCGGCGAGGGCCCCAAGCTTCAGCTCACGGTCATTTGAGCAGTTGCCGCAGACCATCTACCTAGAGAGATAACATAGCAGCTATCATAGGCAGGACAACCTGAACCCCCTCCCTCACCCCCAGCAAATCGGGTAGAAACTCTTGTCTGAGCTGGCCAAGGGGGCAACAACCCGTTTTGCAGCTTAGAATCTGCAAGAACATCCCTTCCAGGAGTCGGGGGTAATTCGTCTCTCTGTTGAAATGTCCTGCCGAGCTGCCCTTGAAGCCCTTCATCATACCGCCCAGCATGCCTCGGGATCTGAGGCAACCCCCCCGATGTCTAGGTCCTCCAGTCGAGAGGTTAGAATAAGGGTACCTTTTTTTTTCTGTAGTCTATTTGAGTAGGGGTACCCTTCCCCAAAAATGGTAAAAGGGCACTACTGGGGGACCTAGATGTGCAAAGGAAGCTGCAAGCACAGGTCGCCATGGTCCGGAACAAATCAAGGGGGAGAATCTCGGGAATTGGGTCAAGGACTCGGCCAATCATGAGATAGCCTGCAAAGGAACGACTGGTGGCCCAGCGGGATTGCTTCCAATGGGGGAAGGAACAACGCTCCACCTCCACCAGCTAAACAACCACAAGCCAGCAGCTCTTTGATCACAAGCCAGCAGTAGCGCCCTCGCTTGTTACGCGGTAGCTTGGACGGTAGCAGCGCTGCCCCCGCGCACGGCAGCAACAACTTTGCACGCCTTGACTTGCTAAGGCATTCCCAGAGCTCAAGACGATTGGCCAATGAGCCTACCAAACAAATCAACGACAAACCAAAAGATGGTTGGATAGCGTATGTTGCGTAAACCGTAGTAGGCTGCAATCATGACGTGCAGCTCAAGCAGCTATAATTGAGTTCCCCTTCTACGATCCGCAAGCAAGTCGCAACCCTAAAAGTCCTACCCTTGTGCTTAACCGCAAGCCTGCTGCGAGTTTGCCACACACACACACACAATCGGTCGGAACAGCACGTTTGGGCCAAGCACAAAGAAACCATAGAAACATGCTGTGACAACCTGTGAATCCTGAGTGCCCGACCCATCTGCTGCATCATCTGGCCAGCCTGCCCCAGAAGGACAATTTCCTTCGCCTGCGCGACGTTGCGCACTTGGAGGCAACCATGCTGTCCACGACGAATCCCAACCGCAGCCATAAACCCCTAAATCACATTTGTTTGAAGAACTTGCCCATGTGAAACACCTCACCCAAGGGGTGTTAAGAGCTGCCCCGTAGGACACCAATCGCATTACCATCTGATGCCTTTCCTCACAACTTCAGCACTCAGCACTGAAAGCGGCCGGGTTGCGCTTGGCCCCTTCTCCTCCATCGCAACCTTGAACCTTGCAGATTCTAAGCAAATGCCACATACCCATTTAACACACACACACACACACGCAGGGATACACACACACACAGACCCACACACACCAACCCACACCCAACCCAATACACACATGTGCACGCACACGCACACGCACCCCACGGTACGCGCCGGCTCACGGACGCACGCTCGCACTCACACGCGCACATGAGCAGACACAGACACAGAACACAGACACAAACACAGACGCAAACCCACACACACACAGACCCACACACGCACACACACTCTCAGACTCTGGAGGGGGGCGCCAATCAAGTTCGAGTGAGACAAGTCAAATCCAATATGGTCGAGTTGAGCTGTCTTCCTTGGCAACAGAACTGTGGCCTCCCTGCTGCCTCCTGCGTGGGAAAACTGCGTGGGTGTCCGCACACACACGCACATCACAAACCAAGCCACTACAGTCTAGGCGGCGAGTAAATAAACCAAACGGCGTCCTGTCACTTGGTTTGTTGATGGTTAATTGCCCGCCTTTTCTTGGGTTTTTTCAATCGGGGCCTCCCCCCTCCAAAAAAAAACAGCAAAACTCTCCCCCCCCCCCCCCGAGAAAACAAAAGCACTTCCCAAACATACATGTATATATGTACATATATACAAGCACTTAAAACCCAGGCCCGGCCTTTTGCCTAGACCCTGCCAGAGCAGACCCCAGGGCCGAGGTGCTTGCAGGGGCTGCCTGCAGGCCCGTGGGCCCCCGGGAGCTCCGTCTTCAGGACGAAGATGTCCTCGCGGCCCACCAGGGGCTGGACACCGCCGACCAGCAAGTCGCAGAGTCGGACATCGGCTTGTCTTTTTCCCTTTTTTGGTGGCTGCTTTTTTGTTTTTTGTTTTTGGGGGGGGGGGGGGTGGGGGGAGGAGGGCACTTCTTTTTAGGTGTTCATGTCGTTGATTTGCGGGGGGTGAGATTTCCCCGATCAAAGTGGGACGGACTTGGCTACACCCTGGAAACGCCTTACCGGCAAGAGGAGGGTCACCGACTTGCATACCTGGATGCTCCTTGGGCAACTCGGAGGGAAACGCCAAGGCTCATAACGGCCCGAAGCGATTGGCCCACATCTACAGAGCGAGGATTTCAGCAGGGCGCAAAAGGTGGTAGGTGGGAGGAGCTTTATGACGTGGCGGACTTTTGTGAAGTGGAGAGCCGCAAGAAAGCCCTGTATGTGCTTAGAGTGTCTTCCGGCAAACAGGTCACTTAGGGATCGCTCAAACGGTTCACTTAGGGATCACGGTCACTTAGGGATACACGCTCACTTGAGGATCACATTCACGGATCACTTAGGGATCACATTCATTGATGACGGGGGTGGGGAGGGGGGGGGGATGATAAGCACACCCGCTCAACAGCTGCAGACCAGCCTGCTCCTTTACCGGATTACAAAGTAACATGGCTCTGGGGAGGGGGTGGGGGGGGGGGGTGATAAGCACACCCGCTCAACAGCTGCAGACCAGCCTGCTCCTTTACCGGATTACAAAGTAACATGGCTCTGGGGAGGGGGGGGGGGGGGTGCATAAGCACACCCGCTCAACTGCTGCAGACCAGCCTGCTCTGTTACCGGATTACAAAGTAACATGGCTCTGGGGGGGGGTTGGGGGGGCATGGTAAGCACACCCGCTCAACTGCTGCAGACCAGCCTGCTCTGTTACCGGATTACAAAGTAACATGGCTCTGGGGGGGGGGAATTGGGGGGGGCATGGTAAGCACACCCGCTCAACTGCTGCAGACCAGCCTGCTCTGTACCGGATTACAAAGTAACATGGCTCTGGGGGGGGGTGGGGGGGGCATGGTAAGCACACCCGCTCAACTGCTGCAGACCAGCCTGCTCTTTTACCGGATTACAAAACAACATGGTTCTGGGTGGGGGGGTTTGGGGGGGGTTTGATAAGCACATGCGCTCAGCTGCTGCAGACCAGCCTGCTCGTTTTCCGGAATTACAAAATAACATGGTTCTGGGGGGTGGGGGTGGGGGGGCATGGTAAGCACACCCGCTCAACTGCTGCAGACCAGCCTGCTCTTTTACCGGATTACAAAATAGCATGGTTCTGCGGGGGGGGGGTGGGTTGGGGGGGGGCATGATAATGAACTGCTTCATCCCAGCAAATTCATCTCTTTCTGGGGGTGGGGGGTGGGGTGGGGGGGGGGATGATAAGCACACCCGCTCAACTGAACCAGCCCAGCCTGCTCTGTAACGAAATGGGGGCATGATAAGCACAACCGCTGAACTGCTTCATCCCAGCAAATGCATCTCTTTCTGGGGGTGGAGGGTGGGGTGGGGGGGATGATAAGCACACCCGCTCAACTGAACCAGCCCAGCCTGCTCTGTAACCTAATGTGCAAATTCATCGGGTTCTGGGGCATACGCCGCAGGGCATACATGTCAACACGCATGCACACAACCACATACATGGACTCGCCAGCATACATAGTAACATATGTCATGAAACATACACGTCACATATGTCATGCGATATACACGCCGACAAGCACAAACAAGCGCATACATGCTCGCGCATGCGCGTATATAAACATACATCGCGAGCAAACATATCAACACGCATGCATGCGCGACAAGCCTTCTGCAAAAAGCGATCCCGGAGCGATCCATTTGCGCGATCCCTAAGCGAACCATTCGCGCGACGCCTAAGCGACCCACTGCCCGTCTGCCAAAGGCACTGGATCTGCGATCCCGGAAAAAGAGACACGTGTGACATCCCCCCTGCCTTAAGGAAAACGGAACCATAAATGGAATTCTAAGGGTCATCCGCCGCCCCCAATTCCATTTAAAAGGGGGTGAGGATCGTGTGACTAATGTTGACACAATGACCGCCGTCTTCTGTTTGCCGAACCTGGTGCAGCTCTTACCGCTTAACATCTGCCAACATCAAGAACGCAAACATCTCAGAAAGCCACTGAAGGGGTCAAAGGCTGAATGTTTACGTTCATATATGGACCCCTGGTATCAACCCCTAGTTTATGGGTGAATTAGCCGCTTAGTTACGAGACATCAGCCCCCCTTTTAGAAGACTTGTTGGTGTTGCGGTCTCCTTTCGGCCGGTCAAATGGGTAGGAGTCAAACCGAAACCACCAAGATATGGGCCGTAGGTTTTGGCCCTTGACTTCATCCCGCGGGTCGGGAATCGGAACCAAGCCTCAGATGCCTTGCCCGGCCCTGGTTCAGTGCGGGTCCTGGCCGGGAAACGCCTCGCTGGTGATGAAGCCATACCTGGACTAAACAAATTTGCCCCCGCCCCCACCTGAGTCTACCCAGAACCATAAACAGGCTTATATAGGCGGCTGCGCCTACTTACGGTTGGGATTGTCCCATGCTTTGATTGTGGCTCACCTCTAGAACGCGGATGCGATCTTGTAGTACCCTTTTAATTATCGCAGGGTGGATCCACAGATTCGCCACATCTAAGCCGATTTCTAGACCAACTTCAGGAATGAGGTGAAATGATGTAAAAAGTTTATGAGTCCAGAGCGGGTGACTAGAAAGGCTGGGCTTTGAACCTCGCCAATATCAGAATGCACTCCGTGAGTTCAGGGAGGGTGGTGGCATGGTCAAACATTTGCAGACCTCCCTTGGCTGTCGGATGCAAAACGCACATCGCGGCGTTTGACTGCGACATTGACAAACATCCCTTCGGATCAGCCCGTTTATGCCCGATTGCCATTGCAATAACAGGGCTCTGCTAAAAGAAAACTTTGTGGGGAAATGGAAACCCCCACTAAACCCTAAGAGCCTATTGAGTCCCCTTCACATCTTGCTTGTGCCCCAGGAATCTTCTCCGTGCACTGCCATAGGGCCAATGCTGGCCTACATTTACGACTGCAAAGCAATTAAGAAGCACTTAAAAGCCGCTCTCTAAGTGCTGCTGAGTCGCCCCTTCCTCAGCCAGCTGCCAAATGCTGGAATAACAGCACACAAGGCAAGCAATGGCTCCGAAATGCCTTCATGCCATCTTTGACATTGGCTCACTTGCAGCAAGTGGCAGGCACTTGCCGAACACCGTGTCTCTACAGCTGCGATCAACTGACTGCAAGCAACGTAAAGCCTAGGCTCATCGGGTTGAAAGACTTGATCTCACCGAAGTAGCACGCCTCGTCGGGGTTGATGATGACCACAATGTTCTCGGCCTGCTTTCCTTTCTCTGTCCTTGCAATGTGTGGAACGGGCTGGCATGGGGGCATGTGGATGCCCACAACAAGAGCAAACCGCCTGCGCAGACACACGCAAGCGCAAAGACCTAGGGACCTAGGCAGCTCAAAACAGCTCACCTTGGGCCTTGGGTCGAATTTTCCCGGCTGCCTTTTTGTTGCACGCTCAGAATCTGCTTCATGGTGAACTGGACGTTGGTGCCCTTCTCAACGCAAATGCCCTTCAGGTCGCCCTTGTAGAGGAAGACGTCTTGTCCGTTGCACTCAATAAAGCCCCAGCCCTGGCGCAAAAATTGCCGCATGACTTCCCCTGCAATGAGCTTGCAACTTCACGGGCATGCAGGTGCCAGCACCTCAAACGCGACACCAACAAACAAACAAATACATGAAGAACTAATTGAACACATACGCAAGCAAGCAAGCAAACAAACAGACAAAGCAAAACGCACACGCAAACACACATACACACCGTCACACACACACTCACACACAAACACACATACAGAGACACATGGGCGCACACACACACACAGAGCAACAACAACACCTTCACACAAAAAACACCCAGGCTGTTGCGACCAAATAACTATGGTTTTCTCCGGGTACCCTGGGCCTTGTGAGGGTTGAAGGACTTGACGACTCCGGTCATGGCCATGATGGGCACGAGAAGGGTTCGAGGCGAGGCGGCAAGTGGGGCTCCGAGCACTGAGCCAAAGCAAGTCACGCATTGGCTGGCGGTACAGCTGAGCACATGGCAGGCTTGAAACAACGAGCTCATGCAAATAAGCAAACAACTGTGTCCACCTTCAGGTTCTTTGTTTGGCAGGTATGGCGCACACATGCGGGCATGCTTCATACTAGCAGAAAAAAGGGGAATGAACTTGTTGATCTGCACCTGACATCCGTCTTTGAAGGAACGCAGTGCAGCCTCTTGCTAGTTGCCTGCCTGCATGCCATCACAACATGTCAAAAAGGCCTGCCAACAATCAGCAACTCTGCCGGGAGAAAGCGGCCATAAAGACTAGCACACAAAACCAAGGGCCAGGGAGTGGCCTCCTAGCAGGTGATCTGCAACCCTCGCTGCCTTATGATGCGAACGCAAGTCCACAAGGCCATGCAATTATCCATGCCTTTGTACCAGCGTGCGTGCTTGCCAATGGCATCACGCTTGCTAATGGGCTTACGGACGCCTTGCCAACACCTACCCCTCCCCTGAAGCCGCCAGGCCCACACCCGCCACCCAGGCCTGGGCAGTTGCCTTGGCCGGAGGAACCCCCGAAACTTCCCCCAGCCTCAGCAAATGCCCGGGCTTGACAGCGGATGGATGAGCAAATGATATCTGATCTTCATGCTTGGGGGCATGCAAGTTGGCATGCCGAATCCTAACCTCTCACTGCACAGGCACTCACGAGGCTTGGCCGCAGCCCGGACATGCCAAGCAATACAAAACAATAATGCGTGCCAATTCAAGGTCCCCCAATTCCAAATTCCGCCGATGAAGCGGCTCACGAACCATCTCACAACCAGATTCGTGAGCAACTCTGAGGAGAGCCGCTCCCGAAGTCTCTCAACTCTGCAAGTACTTGCAGTCGCTCAAGGTCCCAAAAATCGAAAACTGACAGTAGCTCACAACTTTGGGGGTCTGAAGGGCCCGCCCCTGGCCACAAAAAGTGGCCAGGTTCGATCGGTTCTTTGGATAAAACAACTGGCCAAACCTTGCCAATCACGACATATCACGGCTCAGGTCGTCACCAGTGCCGCCTGGCTCGCTTTCTGCTGGATTTGCTGGCGCTGCCTCAGCTTGTGACTAAGTTGGCAGCCGGGCTTCTTGGTGCTGTCGCTTGGGCTGACGAACTACTGAAACACGCGGATTATCATGTGCATCCCCTTGCTGACAGAAACGGCACGCTCAGGAGCACACTGGAGTCACACACATTGAGGTCCTCCAGTAGAGAGGTTAGAATAAGGGTACCCTTGTTTCTGTAGTCTATTTTAGTAGAGGAACCATCCCAACACAAAAAGGCCTGAGAAAGACCACTACTGGGGGACCTAGTTGTAGTGCAATATCATACAGTGAGAGCTTCTCGGTCAGGCTGGGCACCCCTACTCTTCGAGCTCCTTGCGCATGCCCTGCAGGCCTGCATATGGAGCTGCATGGGCAAAGCCGGGTCCCCCCCACGTGACCCGGATCCTGCGAACGGATGCGATTCCTTGCCCGGGTCTTTTCTCCAGCACCGCCATCGGCCATTGTGGCCTGGCGAGTCAAAGAGGAGCGTCGACTGAAAAAGCGTATATCATATATATATATATATATACACAATTACATATGTATATGTATATATGTATATATGTATGTGTATATATATATATATATGTGTGTGTGTGTGTATATGTGTGTGCGTGTATCTCTTTTTTACCCCTGCCGCCATGGAATTGGATCCCCTGTGCTTAGGAACTTGCAAAAAGCTCCTGCCAAAGTGACACTCAAGTGGGTCCCAGATGTGTTCGACGGCTGTTCGGCTCTGGTGCTTCTTTGTTTCTCTCGTTCTCGCGCTCTCTCAGGTGAACGCTTCAACATGGTTCAATCTCCGTCCCAACCATTCTGCTGGGCAGTTACACCAAATTGACGGGTACAGCCAAGGTGCGTCATACTGCCACACAGGCTCACACCAAATTGACAGGTACAGCCAAGCTGTGTCATACTACCATGTCCTTGCAGACCTCCTGGTAGCTCCTGAGCTCCCTGTGTTGAAACCGCAAATTTGGATACACCCAGCTCCTTGGCCCCCTTCCAAACAAACAACCAGCATACTAAGCGGGGGCCTACCAGGGGTACCCAATGAACCGCTTCTCCGCTTCGGGCCTCCAACTCGTCCACCAGTGCCGCCAGCTGCGCGCCGCTCTGCTGCAGCTGCTGTAAGCCCTCCTCAGGCAAACCAATGGTGCTCTAGCATACAACGCTTGCACCAGGGGGAGTTCCTCAGGCTGGTCTGAAATCAGGGTCTGCAAATACTACCAATGTGTCTAAATCCTGATATAAGAATCGGATCCCCAAGATCTACGGATCTTTACCATGGCTTTCGCTCGTTTTACCCCCGAATTGGTGAGCTCGCCATAAATCCTGCAGAAATCGATGCAAGGGCGTGCTGCACATGGCTATATGATCCTCTGGGCAAGAGTTGACCCGCAGCGTGCCTTGCGTCGTCCGATCAAGTTTTTTCTCGATCAAATGAAGTTGCGGGTGAGTTGGGAGCACCTACCATAGCTAGCCCTCCTGCACCTGGCAGCCAGCTGGTCATTCCAAACCTTCCTACCTGCGGTGCAGAAACTTGACTTCACAGGGCCGCCTTTTCCAGGTGTGGGCCAATACCTCCCTCCAGGCTTTCTCAGGGCTGCCAAGGTCGAACCGGATTTCATGCCGCAGTTGCCCAGTGACAGGCCCGCGAACATGGAGCCGGGCAAAGGGGATCTCATGACTTGTGGCATTGACCCCCCTTGCTCTCTGAGGCCGGCGCTTCAGGGCTCGGCGCCTAGCGATGAGTCATGTGCAGGGAAAGGCGAAATGCTGCCCTGCACTACATGGAAACCGTGGGAATGAAACCATGACGTTTGGTAGGGTATATTGCAGGGAAAGAAAATCATTTTTGGGTTTCTCAGGGGGTGCAGGAGTTTGTCCATCCACGGTTCCTCTTGTGCCCTGGTCACCTACCCCCCTCAATGGACATACACCTGGGAGAAATCTGGGAACAGCAAGCCTGTTGGGAGAAAGGTCCATGTGTAAAATTTACACAAGCCTGCCGGTGGCAATGCAACTGCGAGCAAGGCTGACATGCGTGCAAGCAAACGGAATTTGAGGATGCATCCCGGTCGAGAAAAACAGCCCCACCGCACCAAAAGTGCCTTCGCTGCATGGATGCGCGGGAAATAACCTATGGTCGAGCTCCACCCCAAAAAAAAACAATAAAGAAATCACTTCTTTTTTAAGAAAAAAATGGCACTTGAGCTCCCGGCGGCGAGGCGGGCAGACCGCAGCAAGGCATTTTGCAAGCTCACCTCGCAGGCAGCTCCGAATGAGGTCGCGTGGTCGTTTCGTGGCTGGCACCCTCCCAGCGATTCCATGGTTTGGTGCACAGACTGTAGAAAGACGACTTTCCTCTTGGCTTGGCGTTTTTTTTTGCACAAACCCATGTTAGTTGGGAGGGTAAGCCACCCCACTCTGGCTTTACCAGGAGAAACCCACCACATGATCAGCACCTTCGCGCCAAAGCCCGACTCAGCACTTCCGTTCGGAGCGCTTTGCTGCTGACCCCTCTGAAAGTTGCTCACTTTTCATGGGCTCAAGTTGGAAAGCCCAAAATCAAAAGAGTTCAACCAAAAAGTTAAAGTGTCAAGATCCAACCCAGCAGCACCACCCTTCCAATCCTGGACACCCCCACTAAACCAACGAAACGAACTAAAATAAAACAGGAACCGGACGGCTGGGAACCGCCGATGTCCGGCCACCTTTGGATCTGGGGTACCCGGCCGCTGGACCCGTCCCACTCGCAGCCTGGCGAGTGACCCGCTTTTTGTCCGGGCGGCGGGGGGGACAAATCCGTCCTCTAAGCTGGGCTGCGTTTTCAGATCCCCTGCGCTTTTAGTGGCTACCACTAAGCCGACTAAAAGGCTAAAAACCTAAGAGGATGGCTGGGAACCAAGAAGTAAACATCGAATCTTGTGTACGACCGCCATAGAGCTGAGCTTTTGGACTGAAAAATGACTTGGAGGCTGGCAACCTGACACGCACAAATGAGCTCCACGCACCCCTCAAACTCCCAACCCCCCTTCAATAAAAAAATCACCCTCCCGGAACCCATGTTGGAGACGGACTTCACGCGTTGTTCGCGACATGTGAAGCGCGACTGGGACAGGTCCAAACACAAAGTGACATTCCCATTGAACTGGCAGCATTGTTTAAACGAGTCGAGTGCCAAGCCCACAAAGAAAGTAGGTATCGTAGAGTATGCGAATCCATAAACTGGGTTGGTGAGCAAGGCATCACCTTGAGATACCCTGAGAACCGTGTTCGCGTGGACGGCAGGTAAGCCAGCTCATGCTGCGTAAGTCATGACGGCTTTCGTGGACATACCGGTTCCCTTTTGAATTCCTCGTAAAACCACATCAACTAGGTCCTACAATAAAGGATCAGAACAAGGGTACCCTTTTTCTGCAGTCTATTTCCGGAGGGGAACCCTCCCCCAAAAAAGGGTAAAGAGAACTACTGGGGGACCTTGTCAAGACAGGGATCCCCTAAAAGCACATCCCACGCTGAGAACGGCCTTGCCTGGCTGAGTGCCCTCCGCAGCTCAGAGGTCAACGAAGCATGGCCCTCCTCGCGACAAATTGGGGGCCCCAGAGAGCACCACATGGCTGCGGCTCAAAAAAGTTGTACCAAAATGGCACCTCGGTAAATGGAACCAAAGACTAAAACCTGCGTAATTCTAGCTCTGATTTTTGAGCCACACCCACATCCCAAACCATCAGAAGACTTCCTCTTGAAATTCGGCCTCTCCACTTTTTATTGCAACCAGCCCACCCTCTCACAAAAACGTGGAACCTCAGAAATGGACCATGCTCCTCCAGCAAACGCCTTCTTTCAGTCAGGTTCCATTTGGGCCGGGGCCGGCCGACAATCGGACCAGTCCTCAGCCCCCAAGAGGCCCAGCTCAAGGACCAGGTCCAGCAGGCCGCGGTGGCTGGAAAGCACCACCTGCCGAGCCTCCGCTTAAACGACTCAGACCGCGGATGGAAAAACGACAGCCGGAGGACGGCGCCACGGTGAACGGAACCATGGGAACGAAACAACCATATTCACGTCCTGAATTTGCTTGCTTGTGCAATGAAGCGTGAAGCCAGAACCATTTGTCCGGTATTCACGCCTCTGTGGCTGGGCTGTTAGATGGCCCTTCAAGTTGTTTCTTTGTGCAATGATAGTGTGGCGAGACGCGGCCAACAAGCCTGAATTGAATTCCAACCATGTCCATGGCCTCGAGCACAGAACCTCTGGTTCACTTGGCCCCCAGCCGCAAGCTCCTCCAAGTCTGGTCCCTTGGCTCCTGCGTTGCTGCGTTCACTCTGCATGCCATGCTCCATTGTCGGCCTGCTTCACCCTTCGCCCAACTCCAAGAACAAACCAACATATTGCACCCTGGGAACCCCTTGACAATATCAAGGCATGATGGAACACCAGCTGAGACTTTGAGTCGTCCCGATCAACGATGTTCGATGGCGGCAAAAGCGCAACCGCAAGCAGCTCTACCAGTCCTTCCGGCCGTTGTGTCCAGTCACCTTCCTAGCGGGAAGCCATCGTCGAAGCCAGTTTCTCTCATTTACCACGGCCAAAACGACAAACTCACGCACAGCCACTTGGGTCTGGCCATTTTTTTTTGGGGGGGTGGCCACCCCCCCAAAATGGCTTCGGCTTGCCGTTGGATTTTCCTTTCAAACGAACCAACCCGGGGGTTCCAACCGGACACATCGACCCAGGCCTGGCACGTCGTGATCTTCTGCAGGAGGTCCCTGCAAGAGGTCTCCAGTCGAGACGCAAGCCGACTCTCTGAAAAACGCCCGGAAGTGACCCTTGCTGTTGACCCCTCCGGAAGCTCCTCTAAACTTTGCTTGTGGGTTCAAAATGAAAAACCATTTCAGCGGATGGAAGAAGTTTACCAACATTTACCTGCCAGGTAGGGTACAAAAGGTGCATCCAAACCACAATGGTCCATCCAAAGGCTCCTCCACCGACATCAAGGTCCACCCTCCTTCCAAGAATAATCGAAGCTGACGATCGGACTGTGTTGGAACACTTTTTTATTCTTGGGGAACCCCCCACTTCCATCATTATTGGAGCCCGTCAGGCAGCCGCTTCTACCTAGGGCTGCCTATTGGCTCTGATCTGGTGGCAGTTGGGACATGCCCACAACACACTTAATGATCCCCTCAAGCAACCCTAACGCCGCTGCCAAAGCAGCTGCGCTTCTAGCACAAATCAGCTCCACAACAGCCCCAAAACCCACGCAAAGTCAAACCTAAACCGCCTCCCTGGAGAAGCAACCCAACACCCGCCTTTAAGCGAGCCAAACACCCACCGGAATTAAGCCAG